TCATACATGCTGTGTTTGGTGAACAATGGTTTTGTGTTTTATCTTCCTTACAAATTCTCCAGGCAAGTGAAAACTACTCCCACCAAGAGACTCTCACCAGACCGTTTAGCTTCCCGCGCTGGGCCTGTGCTGTTGCCAAGGGGATCCCCCGTGGTAGGCGAGGAGCCGCAGGTTGGGACTTTTGGTGTCTGTGTCGGCTGAGAAGCCACTGGGGTGAAGCTACCATCTCTGGGATTGTGACTTACTGCCTGCGTAGAAGTCAGACTCCTGCCCAGGTGGGACCAGAAGGCAGCCCCGGGGAGCCTCGGTTGGCCGCGGAGAGCCTGACCTCTGCGGCCCCACTGGTGGCCACCTTGCGCCTGGATGGGGGGCAGAGTGAGGCTGGAAAGGAGCCGCCCCTTCACTCCTCACACGCCGCCCTTTGCTGGGGCTCTAGGTGCTCACCTGCTCCTAGACGACCTGCACTTGGTCTACTGGGTAGTGGTAGCTGCGAGGTAGCTCCATTGCTGCGCTCTGTTTGTTACGGAACCCAGCCGCCTCAGCGTGGGAGCCGCAGGACAGTGACGTCCTCTCACCCTGCTGCTCCACCGCAAGTCCGTTGGGGCAGTTGCTCCTCAGAGCTCAGTAACTGCCGTTTTATAATGGACTCATCAGTGCGAGCTATGAGCTGATTGGTGCCAAATGGTCCAATCAGACTTGTGGGTGGGGCACCTTGAAAGAGGCTATAAGGGAGGGTTGGAGGGAGCTGGGAGAGGCTCCAAAGAGAAGAAGAGGAGCCCTGGAGAAGGAGACGATGACTCCAGTCCTGAGAGAAGAGCATGGGGGCCCCAAAGAAAGGAAGATGACACCAGCCCCCTCAAAAATAGAAGGCAGTTGCTGGCCTCCAAAGAAAGAGGAAAAGAAGCATCCCGCAGCTGTCCTCTGAGGAGGCAAGAGAAGCCGAAGGACGCTGTCTTGTCTCTGACATCGCCTGAAAGAAGCCCCCAAGGCCCTGGGCCTGCCGTCTGGAGGAGCTGTTTGTTGTTGGTGTCGCCCAACACCTCACAAAGAGCTGTTAACACTACATGTCTCTGGCACTGCATCTGCAGGGCCAGTAGTGATCACCACCACTGGTTAGTGCTGTCCAGCACTCCTGGTGACCGGTGGCGACCATCACTGCCTCATCCACTGCCTTTTGTGGATGAAGTAAGCGCTTTGTTTCCCGTCTGTAAAATAAACCCCGTGATGGTGGTTCCTGGGGCCTGAGGTCTCTTGCAATTGTGCAGGGGGGGTGGGGGGTGGGGGAGGTGAGACTCACAGACAATGACCTTTCTTCTTATTGGGCGCTGTTCTTTGTTAGGCTATAGCCCAGAGGCCCCTACTGGGTGGGTGCTGTATTGCTATAGCCCTTGGTTTTGATTTTTGACCTTTTGGGGCTTTTTGATGGGTCTCTGGTCTCTGAGCCTGGGTGGGCGGGTGGCTGTTCCTTCCTTCCATCCATCTGGCCTCCTACTCTGCTGCCCTTTCACAGCCCTCTCTGCTCCTGTTTCATATTGAAAATCATCTTTCAATATAAGTACTTGTATGTAAAATAGACAAAATGAACAGATTACTCACCACTTTACTTGATTTAATATCAGTCTAAATTATTAAAGACCTTGGAAATTAAGTTTAAGATGATCTATTACAGAGTAACATAATTACTGATGATATAAACACTTTTGGAAGTTTGGGTGAATTACAATCTCCATGATTAAACACCTTTTATCACTCCATCACGTCATCGTGTTTCATATACTTCATAGTTTCACAAACTGATGTGACCTTATGTATTTGAATGCTTATTCATTGTAAATATTTTATATTCAACATAAACACAAGAGAATTTGTCCTTTTCAGTGCCTGGGATATGTACGAGACTTAAAATGAGTAGTTATGCATGCAGAAATACATGAATGAAAACTTTACTCATAGTAATTGTATCAGGCAGGAGGACCGGGCACTATTTTATACATGAGGAAGCTGAGGCGTTAATGATCATTTAGCTTTTGAGAGACATGAGAGGAGCTGAGACCAAGAGAAGTTGGGGAACAGGAAAGACAGACATGGGACAGTGATTTTAAACAATATAGGAACAGAAGGAACAAAACAGCTCCCAGGAAAATAGAAGTGTTTTGCTGAAGTGTTGCTGAGCCGGTCACCACCTAGGGTAAGATCTGGCTACAGGGTAATTAGGGAACAGAAGAAAAAAAAAAAAAAACCACCGTGAAACTTCCTGACCACATAGAGACCAATCAGTAGTCCAGCACGTTGGGCAACAGGAGCCTGGCAGTATACAGTCATAGACAGGGCTGGAGTAAATGGGCTTCCTCCCTTGGACCCCTCTTGCTGTCAGGAGTTCTTTCCTCTTGCTTCAAAAAATCCACACTTGCTTGCTCTCACATTTGGTGTGGCGGCTGTTATTCTTCAACCAGGGAACACATCCAGACCCACGAGCATCCACTCTCCTGACAGACTCAGGAGTTTGGTTTCCTGATTTCCAATCCAATAAACCACATTATTTTAACAAATTAATATATATGTGTGAAAAATGTATAAAAGAAGAAAATTCACACAGATGGGACTCACAGAGAGGGCCCACCACTAAGAGGGGGCCCCTCTAAAGAGACAGTGTTCTGATAGAAGCCAATGCCATCAGTCTACAACTTTTAAAATTCAAATTCCCCCCACTGTTTGGGTATCTTCCAGGCACTACTATACATTTCTTTGAGTTCCTGGTGGTTTTCCATTTGGAGTGCTTGTAATTGAAGATCAAGGAAGTGAAATGTGAGTTGTCCTCTGGATTTTGCTGTAACAGAAGCTTCCTGCTGGGTTGGCTGTAATTGCTACTCTTAGTACTCTAGCACAGCATCGGTTATTCTTTACATGAAAAGCCCTATTGAGCAAAATTGGCCCAGTTGAGACATCAGCACTAACGCCCTGCAGGTATTCAAACTTGCTCTTGGCTTGCTCTACTGGGTGTCAGGACAAGTCACTTTTGAGGTTATCGAGGCGCTGCTACATGGTAACAGACAAACTAAGCTAAGTCTTGCTGAGGCTGGCTCTGGTGCCAACTGAGCAGGAAGCCAATGTTCCCACCAGGCATGCTACCGCTTCCATCCCAAGGAGCTCCCTCTCCCCTCCCACAGGCTGAGGAACATTTTGTATTAAATCGAGATGTTCCTCTTTTAATGTTTTTTCCCCTGTGAAGAGTTTATATCCAACTATTTAGAATTGTGAGGTACTTGCTCTCAGGATCCCACGTTCCTCTTTTAATTAGAACATGTTGGGTGACGATGCCTAGAATTTTTGTCAAATTATTTCACATGTCAATTCCCTTCATCCTCATGTCTTCCCTGTAAAACTCTGACATTCAGTAAAGATGATTTGGAGGTGATTTCTTCTGAACTAATGCTGATTCCTTCCGAGGGAGGAAGCCCATTTACTCCAGCCCTGTCTATGACAGTAGGCGGTAAGCGCAGGCCCAATGCCATAAACAAGTAGCCCTGGGTAAGGCTGTGTGGTTCTTACCATATGTATTAGACAAAAGAAGGAACTGAAACTCAACTGGGCTCCAAGTTTCCTCAAGGTCTCACTGATACTCAAGGCCTGTACTCTTTTTATGGTTTTCAGAAGAGTAATATTGGAGAAAACCGGACCACTGAGCTAAAATTGTGAGTGTCACAATGGACACTGTGGATCGCACAGGGGCAAGAGAGCAATAAGTTGGTGTGGTAGGTGGGAACTGAGGCCATAGGGCTTGGGAAGTCTCTCAGACACTGGGTCTTGATTGCCTTCGACCAAATATTTTCACTGTTGTCACAAAATAAATAGGATGCTCAGAGGCATGTTGCCTCTGCCAAACAACTGATAACCATAATTTCAGGTTTTCAGACCTAGTCTCCCAGCCAGGAATGGATCCCAAGCTACAGGGGCAGCACTGAGTCCCAGCCACTAGACCACCACAGGTTGGTGTCTCACAAAACCTCAGCAGGAACTTCGCTGACTCTCAGGCAAACAAGCGAAAAGAGGCATATTTGTTCAGAGAAAAAGTTGTAAGAGAAAAGAAATAGAAACAAAGTGGGACTCCCAGGCCCTTGGAACCAGGCCAGGGAGGGGCAAGGAAGTGGAAGTGGGTCATGACTCAGGGAATATGTACATTCTTCCCCTAATTATTCTAAAGCCCCATCAGTCTGTTTGTGATTGGTTAGTTCTCAGTGGTCTCATTCACTCTGCCTTAATGTCTCGATGCCCAGAATTAAGTCTCTGTGTCTCAGCCCTTAGAGCCCTTTTCTTTATGGTCCTTGCTCTGGAATGTCCTGTTGTCCCTAGTTCTGGGGTATTTGATTAGTCCCTTTGGAATTTGTTGCCCCTCTCTATGGAGCCTTCCTTATTATTCCCAGGCTTTTCCTATTCTATTCTGACCCTAGAAGCCATCCGCTTGCTCTGTGACTCACAACCAGCTTGATACTGGTCTACTAAGTCAATCTTCTCAGGAGGACTGGGAGATGGGTATCATCCTCACTTTAAAAGAAGCAGTCCACGAGGGGAAGCTTGGGGTTAAGGATCTACGCTACAGGCATGGCAAAGTAGGCACCCCAAGTCCAGGCTCCACATTCCGAATCCATGGGCTAGACTTTCCCATGGGCACTGCAGCTGGAAGGGATCTCGGAGGACACATTTTAGATGGACAGCTTGGTTTACAACTCAGAGAACAAAGCTCCTCCCCTCCCCCAACACACACCTACACCCACACACACACACACCCGCGAAGTAACTGCCCAGGGCGGAACAGGGCAAGAGAGGAGCCCAGACTTCTTTATCTCTTCTTGCCCTGGCTCTGGCTGGCTCCTTCCTCCCCGGAGCCTGGGGGAGGAGTTAAGCAGGGTCGGGGCGGCTGGAGGCCGGGTGGGCGGTCCTGGGGCGCGCATTCCAGAGCCGCCCCTGCGAGCGCGCCCGGCGCCGAGCAGCTGCCCCCGCGCCCCCGCGCGCCGCGGCTTCCCGGAGATTTGGAGGATCCGGCACGTTCCGAGGAGGCGCCAGGGCTCGGGGCCGTGGCCGCTCCGCATCCCGCGTGGTCTCTGGCGCCCTGGAGAAGCGCGCGAGGCTTCTCCGCTCCAGGAACTTCCCGCACACCCGGCGCGACCCGGCTGCGGCGGGGCCGCGGGCCCGACCGGCCTCGCCGCGGGGCTGGGGTGAGTGCGGCCGCCGGGGGTCGGGAGTGGGGTCCTCGGCTGCCTGCGACCCGGGGTTCCGCCCTTGCCCCCCGCCCCCCAGCTTTCCCTTTTGATCCCTTCTTCTCTCTCGTTTCTCCATCACTTCTGCGTCTTCCTTTTATCTTCTTTCCGGTCGTGAGTTCCAGCCACCCTGTCCACGCCGCGGGCCCCGGGGAGGCGCGCGGTGGGATGGGCGACCCGCAGCCCCGCCGGAGACAGGCTTCTCCCCGCTCCGCCCGCGCTCGCCTTCCCGGGGCCCGGCGCCTCCCCGCCCTTCAGGTCGGGCCGGGGCTGGGCTCGCGGCCGGGCAGCCGCCGTCGCCCGCGCGCAGGCTGGGGCTCCGCGCCCCGGGGCTCGGTTCCTTTTCTCAGAGCCCCGCGAGGGCGCCAGGAGCTCGAGTCGGAAGTCGGGGCTCCTTGTAGTTTCTTCGCGTATTTTCAAAGCTTAGCCTCTCCATCTGTGAAAGGGAGACAATAACCTTTGCGTAAGAAACCAGATGAGAAAGGCGCTGAGCACAGAAGCCCGGAGAGAAGCCTTTCTCCCAAGCATCCTACTTTTTCCTCCTGCCTCTTCTCTTGAGACTCGGTGGTTCAGACTGCAGGTTCACTCGCGAACTCAGCCCTTGGCACAGGGCCTGGCAAATAGGTGCTCCACGCATGTTTACTGAGTGAAAGAAAGAGATGTAAGCCATAAAACCTGTCCCACTGAGGTTATTTAATTTTTTTTAATTGGTTCAACGATGGTTTGCACTGCTGTGTGTTTCCAGAGTACACTTCTGCACCTTTCACATGTGCGTCCCTCATGGCACCCACTGCCCAAGTTCCAGGCATTCACACTGTCAAATTCACCCCATCCCTCCATCCCCTCTTCTTCCCCGCTGGCATCCGGGTTGTATTTTGATCCGGTGGCCGGGTCTGGCTCTTACTCATGCTGTTCAGTTTTTTCTTCCTGACTGGCTCTAGGCCAGCGGGCACCAGGGTTGCCATTTGTCAGTTCCTCAAAGCTGCCGTCTGTGGTGGTTGAAACTGCCCAGCCTTTCAAGTATCAGAGCTTCCTGGGACATTGCTATGATCTGTGTCCCCTGCGTGGGCCAATAGTCAGGAAGGATTGTGAATGCCCTCTGGGGGTGAGGTGGGGGTGAAAAGAACAGTTCTCTCTCTAGGCATCAAGAGGCATCTTTTGGACTCCTCTCCCCATCTGAGAAGTGAGGAAACGGTAGTGGATTAGATAGGAGGCCATGGCTGAGCATGATGTGCTGCTCTTTGGCTGTGGTGGACCTCCAGCAACCCTCCCAGCACAAACAGGCAGCCCAGCGGAGCTTCAGAACATCCTGTACTTCTGCACTAACAGTTGAAAGAGCTAAGGAGAAGTGATTCCCTGCTTGAGCAGTGACCTCCTGTTCCCAGCTGTCCCCAGGGTTATGAATCATGATGCAGAGGTTACAAGTCATGCTCCATTAAATCTTCCAACATGGACCTGTCAGGGTGTCAGAATTGTGAGCTTTGTTGCATAATCAGCCCGGGGACTCCCCAACTCTCTGGCATTGCCTGAGAATCACTGAGCTGCGGTGAGGTGTTTGAGAAAGAACAAATCTGAATCTCTGGGGATTTACTGTGGCTGGTGACAGGGCCTCGGGGTGACAGACCATGGGGCAAAGTGGCAGTCACAGTCTCAGATGCTTTCCTACCATATTGACTTTGTTTAAAAGCATGCTTTTGTTTCTTCCCCATGGATTCAGTCACACAAGCACAGGAGAAAAGGGGGTATCTTGATTGGTCTGATATTGCTGCTGGTAGCGGTGGTGTCAAAAGGACACATGGACTCCCACCGCACCCTGCAGACCCCCATTCTGACTCACCAGGTTAGCTGAATGATATAATAACGATCATATTTGACATTTATTGAGGGCTAACTATGAGCCATTGTTATTTTTTTCTTATTTTTATTTTAACATTTATCATTTTTTAAATTTTTTAAACAATGTTTGCTTTCCCCAGTCCCCTCAGATTGAGTCTCCCTAGAGTTTCCTTCCCCAATGCACCCCTGCGCTATCACCACAGTCCCCTGTGCTCCTCCCTCCCTTCCTCTGATCCCTCTCCCTCCTCCTCCCCTGCAGGATGTCTATGAGGCATTGTTCTTAAGAAATTTTTTTATTGAAGTCAAATTGGCTTCTGAAACATTCAAACATTCTCTGTTTCAGAAGTGCATCATTGTGGTCAACATGTGTTTATTTTACATTAAGTTCACCACTGAAAGTCTTATTCAATTCATTACGATACCAAAGACCTCTTTTCTCCACTTACCCTTTTCCTCCCTTCTGGTAAACACTCATTTGGTCTTAGAGGCTGAAATTTTTTTTCTTTTTTTTTAAGATTTTATTTATACAAGAACTGGGGTACAGGCCAGAGGCATGGGAGGGTGAGAGAATTCACCAGAGACAGAGTAGGGAGCAGAACAGGCAGATGGACCAAAGACACTGCTGAGGGGAGCAGCGGGTGAGACAGGAGAAATCTGCCATGTGGGAATCTCCCTGGCTGGCCTGGAATCTAACTGGTGCTGCAGAGGCTGCGGACAGCTTCACAGCACTGCACTAAAACACTGCGCCAACGGGGAGGCCCGGAGAGGCTGAAATTTATTTTTGTTTTCTTTAGTTGTTAATTTGACTTCACATAGAAGTGAAGTCAAAGTGTTTGTCTTTCTCCATCTGATGTATTTCACTAAGTGTAGTACGCTCTAGTTCCACCCATGCAACCATGCATTGTTCTGAGGATTTCACGTGTATTAACTCATTTAGTCTTTACCACAATTCTATGAAGTTGGGACCATCATTACATCCATTTTATAGATGAGGTAACTGAGGTCCAGAGAGTGAGTGACTCCCCCATGATCTCACAGGAAGTGTCAAGCTGCCATCGGAACTCAGGTGCTGGTTCTGGGGCCTTGTGCTGACCCTTACTGCAATTGAGGGACCTGCATTCACATCTCGCTTCTCACTTCCTTGCTGAGAAAGCCAGGGAAAGCTGAGTCTGAATTTTGACAGTCGCTGACCTAGTGAATCACTAGGGGCCCTAATACCTTCTTACTGTCTAGGGAAACAGAAGATTTACTTCAAGAGGATGGTGTACAGAAGTAAAGGCTAAAAAGTTAGGTACCAGGAAGGTGAGCTAGTTAGAATTCAATTGTCCGACATATTAAACAACAGTGAACCAGATTCCATGACTTCATTGTGTTCTTTCAGTTGCTTAATTGTGTATGGATATAACTTCCTTATTTTATCGATCTGAACTTTGATTGGCCAATTGGTCATGTGAATCAGGACAGTGAAATAGAGGAGGGAGAAGGAGAGGCAGAAAGTGAAACTGGGTTCCCCAAATTGGTTTCAATTAGGGACGACGTATCTGGCACACACGTCACTCCTCATCCTTTGCCCCATTCAGGGGAAGACAGTGATAATCAGGACTTTGCACCTATTTTCGGCAGAATCCTTCTTAACCCAGTGCTCTGGACAGAGTCAGTCAGTTGACTGAAGCTTTTATTTTGCTTCCCCAGACTGCCCACTCCATCCCTCTGGGGCATAGCAGGAGACCTTTGTTTTTGACGTGCCTTGGGTGGCAACTTAGGAAACACCTTGGGACTTTTTAAAGATTAATCTTTGCTTCACTCCTTTTTGTTTTTCCTTTAATGACGTTCAACTTCAGACCCTCCTGGAACTGGGGCAGGGCAGTAGGGTGGGGGTAGGATGTCAGAGGAGCTGTCAGTCTGTCTGATGTCATTGCATCCATCTTTTTTCATTGACTGACAGGAGGCTGAGCTCAGATTGTAAAAGGGTCACACAGTATATTGATTTCCTAATGCTGTAATAAGTCACCCTAAATTTAGTGGTTAAAATAACTCTCGAATTGTATTGCAATTCTGTAGATCAGAAGTCTGATCTGGGTCTCCTTAGAATGAAACCAAAACATAGTCAGGCTGCTGTGGGCAGGATTTGGTTTCTCAGGTGGCAGGTTTCTTTGGCTGAAGCTGAGGATGGTCCCAGCTTCTGGTTGCTGTTACACTCCTTGGCTCATAGACCTCCTCCTCCATCTTGAAAGCCAGCAAAGGTGAGTGAAGTCTGTCTATCATATTCCTCTGACTCCTTCTTTCAGAGAGTCATGTGATTAGATTAGACCCTCCCAAATAGTCCAGGATCCTCTCCCATCTCAAAGTCCCTCGACTTTGATCACATCTGCAAAGTCCTTTTTCGCCTGTTTTCCTGGCTCCGCCCTCTGAGTCATGCTTCCTTTTTCACGTTTAAATTTCTGGAGACCAGGCCATGCACATCTTTGCAGGGCTGCCTTCCCACCTACCAACACAGCGAGGCCCAGTTTGGGTGACTGACTCATTCTGACCATATAGTGAGGTGCAGGGGGTTATCGGCGTTCTGGGGGCCCTTGTGGCTCTGTGGCCGGAACCCTGACAGCCCACCCCATGGAGATTCTCCTTTGTTGGCCCAGCTCACAGCAGGCAGCCAATGGAAAATCACAGTGATGGATAGTAGAAGCTTAAACAAGGCTGTGGATTTGGCCTGGGGTTCTCCTCAGTGGCTCCCTGCTGGTCTCTGAGACCCTGGCATGGGCTGGGCTGGATGACATATGAAGTCTACAGCAGCACTGGCTCTTTATGATCTTTGAAATATCCTGGTGTTTTTCCATTTTTCCAGCCACAGGGGAACAGACAGAGACTCAGGCAGGAAACAAGTCTTTAGACTCTTAAGAATTTTGGAGGAGACAGAAGCCAACTAGCGTAAAATGAGAAGGGAGCTTGCTCTGGGACTTTGGGTCCTTGGAGAAAAGCCTCTGCTTTGTTTCACACCATGTTTCTGATGGTAGTGTGTGCCTACATTCCTCTTTCTGGGTCCTGTTTTTTGGAACAGAGATCTCTGGTGAGATGGACTCCTTGCTGGGCTGGTGAATATTTGAGGCCAACTGTTACATAATGAG